CCAACATAGCTTACTAGCATACCTAACCAGCATACCTTGCCAACATAGCTTGTAGTATACCTAACCAGCATACCTAACCAACATATCTTACAAGCATACCTAACCAGCATACCTCACCAAAAAAGCTTACTAGCATACCTAACCAGCATACCTTACCAACATAGCTTACTAGTATACCTAACCAGCATACCTAACCAGCATACCTTACCAACATAACTTACTAGCATACCTAACCAGCATACCTTACCACCATAGCTTATTAGCATACCTAACCAGCACACCTTACCAACATAGCTTACTAGCATACCTAACCAGCATACCTTGCCAACATAACTTACTAGTATACCTAACCAGCATACCTTACCAACATATCTTACAAGCATACCTAGCCAGCATACCTCACCAACATAGCTTACTAGCATACCTAATCAGCATACCTTACCAACATAACTTACTAGCATACCTAACCAGCATACCTTACCAACATAGCTTGTAGTCTACCTAACCAGCATACCTAACCAACATAGCTTACTAGCATACCTAACCAGCATATATTACCAACATAGCTTACTAGCTTACCTAACCAGCATACCTTACCAGCAGCTTACAAGCATACCTAACCAGCATAAATGTACCATATCAACATACCCATCGAATATACGTATTGAACATGACTAACTAGCATACCTTGTGTATATAGCTAACAGGCATTCTTATCGAACCATTTCACTGAACATAGTTAATGAACATGTCTAATGACCATACTTTATGAACATACCTAACAACATAATCAACTAAAATACCTATAATGAACATTGCTGAGGACCCTTCATAACGTACCCAACAAACATTCCTAATATACATGTACACACTCATATGGTGATTCAGTCCATGGTATATGCAAGTCAAATATAGTTGTCAGATAATAATAGGCCAAACGTAATTAACATATGTATAAAACAAATTCGTTTGTGTTTGTGTCGGTTTTATCATCTTCTATAAGAAAAATGGACTTGAAAGTGTATTCCATACATTATAATCCAGTAAATTTATATCATATATTCTAACGAATAGTATGTATGGTGGATAGCACGTACCGTCTGGTTCTTCCATATCGGCCACTACCACCCAGTGTCTTTGTGAGCTGAGGTCGAACTGAACAAGTTGTGTCTTGTTACTGGAAGCTGGGTCTTTGCTCTTGGCTGTGTAATACAGTAGATTCTTAGCAACATGGGACTGGATGTGAGTGGTGTCCTTGGTGACGTTTGTAACCTCACAGCGGATTGGCTTGTATGTGGCGCTAGAGGACAGCGATGACACCTGGATCATACATATGTGGGTACTGTTGGTCATCACCACAGCATTTTCGTACAGCGGGGTTGTCTCTGAAGAGAACACTTTCTTTTAACACAGTTTAAGCTTTGTGGCACCTTCAACAACCATACTTGTGTCAGTAAAAATAGCAATAGAAATACTAAAAGTAACAACATCTAAGTGGTAATATACCCATGTAAACATTAATTAAGAATTACTATAAATATGGTCTTAATTATGATCCTTTCTATACCTCTTTACTACAAACTACAATTCATGTAAGATCCAATAACTATTTGTTACTTATATGTAAATGTGTTTGTTGAATAGGAGAAATAATGGTAACCTTTTTATCAGTACAGTGTTTATCAGATAAGACAGTTTTTGTAACTTAAGTATCAATGTCAGATAAGACAGTTTTTTTAACTTAAGTATCAATGTCAGATAAGACAGTTTTTGTAACTCGAGTATCAATGTCAGATAAGACAGTTTTTGTAACTTAGTATCAATGTCAGATAAGACCGCTATTGTATTTTATCTAAAGTGTCAATGTCACATCAGACAGCTATTTTAAGCAAAAATCAATGTCAGATAAGACCGCTTTTGTATTTTATCTAAAGTGTCAATGTCAGATAAGACAACTATTTTAAGCAAAAATCAATGTCAGATAAGACAGTTTTGTAACTTAAGTATCAATGTCAGATAAGACCGCTATTGTATTTTATCTAAAGTGTCAATGTCAGATCAGACAGCTATTGTATTTTATCTAAAGTGTCAATGTCGGATAAGACAGTTGTTTTATCTTTTAATGTCAATGTCAGATAAGACAGTTGTTTTTGTAACTAACGTATCGATGTAAGATAAGACACTGTTGTAACTAAAGTTATAATGTCAGATAAGACGCATTTTTGTAACTTAAGTACTAAGACAGATGTTTGTAACTTATCAATGTCAGATAAGATAGATAGTTGATACTCACGAGAACATGTCATTCCGTCTGGGTCCAGTGTGTAACCATCCCCACACAAACACTTGGGTTGTAAGGCTGTGTTAACACATATGTGATTACAGGTTTTAGTGGCGCATGGATCTGTAAAGCAACCAAAACTCTAGTGTAAGTTTTACAGATAATATGTAAAGGAAAACAGAAGTCTCCCTCAATCACTCTTCTTTTGATGTAGGTTATTATATTGAATATATCTATCACTAACAATCATTTCACATTTGATCATTACACATGTATTTTATTTGTAATTACCATACATGCATATTTAACTCACTCTCAACTCCTCTGAAAGAATGTTTGATATTGCTCAACTGCTGTTAAATTTTACGCTCCGCTGAAAGATTTTGTTCTCATTTTCCACCCGAGTGTTACTGTAAAGGTGGTAATTTTCGCGTTTGGAAATATTTGCCTTGTAACTCTTAATTTAAGTTGATCGCAGTGTGGAATTTATTTGCGCTGGCAACGGTTTTAAAATCTCAATATTTTATATATCTACAATGAAAACCTATTAAATCTATAAATGATTATGTGTTTGTGGTTATATGCGCGAACATACTTAATGCGAAGAAAGTGAACATTTTGACATCGCAAAACTTTTAACTTTTACAGTATTTGACTCACTCCCCACTGACAAAATATTTTGCTCACTCTCTACTGACCGAATATTTTACTTACTATCTACTGACAGAATATTTTACTCTCTTTCTCTACTGACAGAACATTTTACATATGTGTATATGTATATTAGATACACAAGCTTTTGTTTTCTTTAAATTAAATACACATATAAAATGCAAATGGTTTTGTTTTCTCTATTTAATTCATTCATTTTATTTGCTTTATTTTGAGCAAACGAATACCAAGTCTGAATTCCTTGTATATTATCTTTATTGAATCGGTGTAATGCAAATAAGTTCCAAGTACGAAAATGAGAAAAGTTGACGCCGCGAAATTAAAGCGATTTACAGTATTTAACTCATTCTTTAATGACAATATTTCATTCACCATCTGCTGACGTAATATTTCACTCACTTTCTACTGACGGAATATTTTACTCATCATACATTGCGGAAAAAACTATTCGCTAAACACGTAGAACATATTTTACACACTCTACATCTAGGGAATAATCTCCTTTCTCTTTTGTGGAACGAAATTTCTCTTACTCTTCAATTAAATGATTGTATCAACCATCGCGAAAATGTTTTGTTCATTTTCAACAGAAAACATGTTTAACTTATCCTCATCTGGAGGGTAGTACTTACTTTCTAACGGAGTCTTCTGTACAGCAGGGTTGAAGAAACCAACAGCATACGGGTTACTCGGATAGAAACTATGATAGGCATATCGGTCTCCTGACGTCTTGAACATACACTGCATCTCATAGGAATCATAATTTATCAGGCAGATATTGCCCTGAAATAAAAGTAATTGTAACCATCATCAGTTAACATGATTACATAAATATATATTTTGAATAACACAATGTGTGTGCTATCCCTATACCTCATGCACTAATTAAAGTTGTATTCTTTTCTTCAATATTTCAATTGTCACAGGCTAAGAAAAAAAACACAATTTTATACTGGCTAATAAAGGCCAACCCTGAACCTAAAATAGCATTGTTACTAGCTAATGAAGGCTAACTCAACTTTCCAACATTGATTTGTCGAATGCTAATAAAGGTAAAACTCAACTACTCGACTTCAGTTGTTTCTGGCTTAATTAAGGAAATTCAACCCCCTACTTCAAAAAATGTTGCTAGCCAATCCAGAACAAATCCTAAGATTAGGAAAAAAATGTAAGACGAGTCGTTGACTCAATTTTGTCATCAAGTATAAATAAAGATTATTATTATTACTTCTTAATATTTAATTGTTACTGACCTGACGAAAGAAACCAAAATATTTCCAACTAAAATTATGTTACTGGCAAATAAAGACCAAATGCTGCTTTTCAGCGTCTCATTATTATTCGCATATGAAGACTAATTGAACCAAATTGAGGCCAAACTCTGCCTAGTAACCATTGGCTAAAGGAGGCCAAATTCTGCCTAGTAGCCATTGGCTAAAGGAGGCCAAACTCTGCCTAGTAATCATTGGCTAAAGGAGGCCAAACTATGCCTAGTAACCATTGGCTAAAGGAGACCAAACTCTGCCTAGTAACCATTGGCTAAAGAAGATCAAATTCTGCCTAGTATTCATTGGCTAAAGAAGGCCAAACTCTGCCTAGTAACCATTGGCTAAAGAAGGCCAAACTCTGCCTAGTAACCATCGGCTAAAGAAGGCCAAAATCTGCCTAGTAACCATTGGCTAAAGAAGGCCAAACACTGCCTAGTTACCATTGGCAAAGAAGGCCAAACTCTGCCTAGTAAACATTGGCTAAAGAGGGCCAAACTCTGACTAGTAACCATCGATCGGCTAAAGAAGGCCAAACTCTGCCTAGTAACCATTTGCTAAAGAAGGCCAAACTCTGCCTAGCAACGTTCAGTTGTCACTAGCTAAAGAATGAGCCCAGATCCTGTTCGACAAAAATGAAAGGTTGCAGGCTGATGAAAGTAAAATATTTATTCTCAACATTATCATTAATTGATGAAGGCAAAACCCTATCTCCCGTCATGCAACTATTCATTGACTGCCATACCTCAATGACAGCGATGGAGGTGAACTCGGTTCCAACCAGACGCCGGATGACCCTACGGCCTGTTCCATCATATGTTGCTGTTTCCACAGTCATACGATAACTGTCCACCCAGTAAAGTTGTTTCTCATTCATATCTAAAGTCATATCGTCTACGAAACCAAAGCTTGTGGAAAGGATCACCCGCCGCTCGCCTCCATACAAGTTACTCCTCTCCATTTTACCATCTTCATAAGCCGAGGAAACCCAGAATAGGAATCTAGGTAAGAAAAAAGGCAACTTGAAAAACCAAACATCGTTACGGTTTGAAATTACCTGTAGTTTATTGTTTAGTGCATATACAATGTATTGTACACTGAGGTACATTGTTTACTCTGACATATAGTTCACTGTGAGGTGTAAACTGCGTTTTGTGTTAACAGTAATACTGATTCCTGTGGTTATAGTGTATATGATTGTATAGTGTTTATTATAGTATATTCTACCACGTTAACGATGTAACGACACTTTTCACTGGTTAATAAACACGGATTATTGGACTGCTTGTCCTAAATAATAGTATCCATATAGAGCTGGTTACTGATCTTGATACCAATTTAATTGGGTGGCAGACAGTTTAAGAAATATATATCTTTTTACAAATGTGTAACGCAACATTTTCATTAATGAATCAAGTGCAAGTGGATAAAACAAGTATTCTGTCACTCAAGTGAAATATACATTTCTAGTACTGAAACTGGACTTGCGTATCTATCACTATATGTTTGATAATAATATCCTCAAAAAAATGCTTAATCAATGCTAGCTATCCATTTGTCCGAAATAACTGACTTTTTTTTTACAATGTTTTAGGAAGAATCTCCTTATCTGTTATATCTGTCAGTCTTATCTGTAGTACACTAGACAATGTATGTTAAGGAAGGAGCACCCAATTTCTTCTACATTATGTCAATTTATTCCTGAAGTACGATTTTCAATGAATGTTAAGGAAGAACAACCAATCCGTTCTATCTGTCAATTTTCATGTAGTACGAAAGGCAAGGAATATTTTAGAAGGAGTGCCCAATTTATTCTACTTGTCATTCTTTCCCCTGTAGTACGCTAGACAACGAATATTTTAGGAAGGAGCTCACAATTTATTCTACTTGTCATTCTTTCCACAGTACTATTCGAAACAAAAAATGTTTGCTACAAGACAAAGAAATACGGTTCCATTATAAATCTCCATAGTTTGTCCTCGATAGAGAGGGAATAATATTCAAATACAAGTATCAATGACTCAGGAATGGTTAGCGTTGGATTTCATATACGAATACAATTAAATGAAATGCTAAAAAAAACATGAAATTCAAATTTATTAGGATGGAAGGTAGTCAAGATGTTAGAAGTGGATTTGTACGTTTATACAATGAGCAGCAAGTGATAACTGGAATAGCCGTTACATACTTGCTTTCGGCGTCCAAAGCCAAGGCTGCTACGTATTCGACGTCATCAGTGATAAGTATTTTGGTGTCAGCCGGATCTAATGAATTTGCAGGTTTCATAGCTATCCAGTGTAACAGCGGGTCGCTCCAGTAAATATTTTGCGTCAAATAATCGAGATCAAGCTTACAGATTGCTCGTGACAATCCCTCAAACACTTTTGTTGTCTGGTTGATGGTTGAAACCGTCTGGTCATTCAAGGTTGTTGTAACGTTATCCCAGCGGTAGATACTATTTGTATGTACGTCTATATAATACATGGCATTACTAGATGGGTCAGGCACCAGTTGGGTAATCAAGATGTTTTCTTGCAGAAAAGGATGCTGGGTACTGGGGGTAGCCCCTGTCATATCCTTGGGGTCGATACCCTCAAACAGTTCCACGTGACCAGGGAAAGGGTAGGGGAACAGTGATACAACCACACCCTTATTCACTAGGACCGTGGCAGGAGTTACTGAAATGATAAAATAATATATTTACTGACAATGATTGGGAAACACGGAATATTACTCCAACAAACTTTCACAAAAGGTTTAATTTAAAGGTTACCACAACACAATATTTGAACATTCGTTGTTTACATTTCCATCAAATGACTGAAGAGACAGCAGCAATCACTCACACGTCGGACATTTGATGTTACAGTTATAAATACGCGAAACAGTGCCAAAACACTTGGCAGCCAATGAAAGTTTCAAATATTAAAACATCATATGGATTTATCATGACAGCGTTATTTTTAGGTGTCATTTATTCACTTATCGTTGATACTACTTGAATATGTATTTAATGTAGTGGAAATGTCGTAGTGATCTACAAAAGAAGAGGACTTCCCCCCCAGAGCCTTTCGAGATTCGGAAAAGAAACAGGATCTACCAGTAAAGACACAGAAACATTGGGATACAAGCAACGCTGACTGGAACAAAAGTGTAAGTGTTCGTGAAGGGACTTTTGCAGAGACTTTTTGGAGTCCTGACTCAAATGCAGGTTTATGGAAATGACGACGCAATGTACAGAAAACATTTCCGGTACGTGGGTCATTTAAGGTCAGCAACGTTCGTCACAGGTCAGCTTTGTGACACAAACTACGATCACAATATCCCGGTATTCCTGTCTACTAAAGAGGGGGTAGAATAACCGAAGATGAACTACATGGCAGTTGAAGAAAAACCAGATGTTTACTTGAATATTATCTTAGTGCCAGCTCTGATAGACAACGAGAACAGAACGCAAAAGACAATGATGACACATTTATTTTAATTCTATAAGAGCCGCGTTGGTGTAGTGGATAAAGGGAGGAACGCTACAGTGCAGTAAGCCTAGCGATATTGAAAACAGCAATGGTTAGCATAGGCTGCAATATGCCATCAGCAACTCATTTGACGGCTGAAGAAGACAGAGCGATTCATGAAGGTAAAGGAAAGAATAATAAATTGTGCAGAATTGTACCCATTCTCGATCATCTTGTGAGGAATGAAAAGTCATATTATTAACATTTCCCTGTAGAAATTGCGCTACTCCCTTAGGAAAAACATTACGACCCCCACAAATCTAAAAACATTAGAAATACTGACTGACACAAAGGAACAATTTAAAAAGGTATGCAGGATAATGTGATGAAAGCAAATACAGCGTCAATACCAGGCCCAAAACTCCGTCTTACCAGGAAAGTCAATACAGACCGAGTTGTTTTTAGAAATAGTTCGTGCATACGGATGTCTATCTTATCAGCTGATTCGGATACCTCTGCGACCGTTAAAATGCCAGACAACATCTACGGATTAGTTACATGTTACCTCAGCTGACTTTAGCTACGTTTTAATTAAGGCGGTATTAAACATCTCCACAAAACGTAGAGAAAGGTGTTGCGACTGGACGCACCGTTTCTGACATACTCTTTATAATGGAGATGAAATCCCGTCATCAACACATCGGGAATAGAGATTTAGACGAGGATCTTTGTCTTTCTATCTTGGTAAATGAGACGTCCCTTAGTCTTTATCTGCTCTGATATGATCATTGCATTCCAAGGTTCCTGCCATTAGAATCTCGTATGGTAATTCCAAAATTTTCCTTCGCGACTTAGAACTCCTTGAACGCATACGACAATGGGAGTTGAGCATAGAGAGAGGAGGTACTCCAAGCCATCGGAACATAGATCAAAGGTTAAGAAGGATATTGGTTAAAGTGCTGGAAGATCAATGCATTATTCACCTAGAAACCCTGGCTTTTCTGTCTTCCTAAACCACTGTTCCTGACCAATGACATAACTTGTATTCTTCAATGTTAAATCATAGGCAGTTTATTGGGTTATCCGAAACTCACCCACGTGATTTCTCTCTTCGGAGCAAGAACTTACATTAATGTAATCAAATAGTAGCGATATATTTGTTTTTGCTGCACCCTTATGAATTTTGGATACAGCATCAATGGTAGTAAAACAAGAAACTCGAAATATCCTAGTTATCATCTTAATAATTGAGTTGTGTGTAGTTGGTTTTGTCATTTTATTAAACATATACAATATAAACATATATGTGCTGCAATGTTACTGTGTAAACTGTGTTTCGGGTCATCAGACTATGAACCGGAATGAGTAGAAAACGAACGTGACTAAAAAGTTAAAATTAAAATAAAAAGTGATATCACGTTTGGCTCTCGCTTTGAATTTTTTACGACAAATATTCTATTCCGTCATGAATAGCCATTATATGTATCTGTTTTAACGCAAGTTCATGTCATTTTCATATAATGCTGTGTATATCATATTGCCAGTTAACCGCACCTGAAAGTAGTGTGTTGCTTAAGTAAACTACGGAAATATCAAAGTAGACATATAACGTCCCCACCTACGGCATTATATCACTACGTGTGATAAACATGTAATGATGAAAGTAAAAACATTCAAAAGGTACCTCAACCCAGGCACACACTTGTAGCAGACCCTTCCAGGTAGTGTTTATCATTAGGTCAGAGCAGTTAAAACATCCCTAGAGGTACATGTAGAGTGCTTGATATGGGAAAACGCCGTTACCATGACATTAATACTTAAATATACGGCATATACTAAGTATAGGGGGATTAAAAAATCTGTACAAAGTGAAGTGAAACATTTGCATAAATGTTAATCGATATGGGTTTGGCCATGGGGAGCCTGTTGGCTATGTTTTTCACTTGTTTACATAATATTGTTGGAAAAGAAATATTCTGAAGAAATCTTTCTCGTCATAAAATGTTTTTAAATCTTATTATGACAAATTATTTTTGAAGTTTCTTGTGAAAGCTAAACATAGCTAGATGTAAAGCCATGATCACGACATCACGAGTCACATGTGCGTAACTTATATGGTCAATATTTATGTGTGTCCAGATTTCAATGTCATCATGTCCATCAGGGAAATACAATTCAGAATAAAATATGAACGTTAAGGGATCCCCAGAAGATATAGCATGTAGTAAAGTGTCAGTTCTTTTAGAATGAGTAGAGATAGCAAATAGCACATTGCTCCCGTAGAATGAGCAGTGATAGCAAATAGCACATCGCTCCAATAGAATGAGTAGAGATGGCAAATAGCACATCGCTCCCGTAAAATGGGTAGAGATAGCAAATAGCACATTGCTCACATAGAATAAGTAGAGATAGCAAATAGCACATCCCTCCCGTAGAATGGGTAGAGATAGAAAACAATACATTGCTCTCGTGGAATGGATAGAGATAGCAAACAACACAGTGCTCCCGTACAATGGGTAGAAATAGAAAACAACTCAGTGCTCCCGTAGAATGAGCAGGGATAGCAAATAGCACATCGCTCCAATAGAATAAGTAGAGATGGCAAATAGCACATTGCTCCCGTAGAGTGAACAGATATAGCAAATAACACAGTGCTCCCTAGAATGAGCAGAGATGGCAAATAACACAGTGCTCCCGTAGAATGAGTAGAGATGGCAAATAACACAGTGCTCCCGTACAATGGGTAGAGATAGAAAACAATACATTGCTCTCGTGGAATGGGTAGAGATAGCAAACAACACAGTGCTCCCGTATAATGGGTAGAGGTAGAAAACAATACAGTGATCCCGTAGAATGGGGAGAGATAGCAAACAACACATTGCTCTCGTGGAATGAGAAGAGATAGCAAACAACACAGTGCTCCCGTATAATGGGTAGAGATAGAAAACAACACAGTGCTCCCGTTGAATGGGTAGAGATAGAAAACAACACATTGCTTCCGTAGAATGGGTAGAGATAGAAAACAATACAGTGATCCCGTAGAATGGGTAGAGATAGCAAACAACACATTGCTCTCGTGGAATGAGTAGAGATAGCAAACAACACAGTGCTCCCGTAGAATGGGTAGTGATAGCAAATAGCACGTTGGTTTGTCGTATAATGGGTACTGGTCATGGTAACACGGTGCTCCGGTAGAATGGGTAGAGATAGCATATAGCACGGTGCTCGCATAAAATCGGAAGGGGTGGCAAAACATAGTGATTGCTTATAAAAAGGGAAGGTATAACTCGATTCAAGTGTTTTACTATGAAAAGTGTAGTGACAAAATGCACTGATAACTTTCGCAGAGAACATGCAAGGCTTATAATGTGTTATCCTACGACGGTATAGAATGGTACATATTTGTAGTGATAACTACAATATACGGTACGTATATCATCGTATCATACATTAAGTGACTGGTACCATGTAAAAAATGTATTAGTATACACGATAACAGCTGATGGCATCTGGGCGTGCAAGACACGTCCTGACATCGTCATTTCACCTGAAACCGGATTTTTAGGCTAATTCGCATTTAACCGCATACTTAAATCACTAGATTGGGAAAGGAACCAGATTGCACTTGGTCAACCAACACGGTCCCTCCCTGTATCAGCCTGGCTGCATGAGCTTGATCAAAACCGGTGTTCGGGCTCTTGTTCTTTATATTCTTAATGTTGGAGCTTAATGCTTCTAATATCAATCTAATCACATACGACCGTCTATCTCTGTTCAGTCGTGTGATCATGTATGACAGTGTGGTGATGTTTTATTGGGTAATCTTGTATGTCATAGTGTTGATGTCCTATCGTGGCACCCGTAAGCGCGGATTCATGTAGGCGCAAAACCCTTCAACCAACCAACCAACCAACCAACCTACCTATCGTGGTTTTGTATGACATTGATGTTCACTCAAAACAAACATGAACCATCTTATCCCTACGTGTACACATTATATTTTGGTAGAGGGGACTGGTTTGTTTACGTGTAGATAGGTGAACGGACGTATTTCACAATGTGTAAGTTGTTTTTAAGTTGACAGCGTTGTCACCAACAGAGTCTGCCGTCGGTGCGTGACTGTAGTCTAATACTGCAAAAGGTTCTGAAAGCAATTCGTTAACCCCGACTATGTCGCGCCTAGAGCAAAACACTTGGATTGACATAAACGCAACCAAGCGTCT